CCGTGACATAGGCCTAGTATGGGAGTTGAACGCTCCAAGTAATGGGCTTCTGTTGTAGGCCAGAGTTATGTAAAAGCTTGGGATCAAACAAAATACAATGATAACAGCCATAAACTTCAACACTCACAACGCACTGTCATGTTGACAAACTTAGTTACAGGGCTTCCAACACCATTCTCAGCTGTACATCTGTACAGTCCTTCATCCTGACTACCACGGATGGTCAAAGGGAAGTTCACTCGACTGTTATCAGCAACTTTTGTCCAAGTTATCATTGGCGTTGGATTACCTTCCGCTAAACAAAACAAACTCACCACACCACCAATATCCACGATCTGCTCACCAGAAATGTTTGTAATTCTTGATGCATCTTTAAAAGGCATCTCCAATTCAGATTCAGGTCAAATGATGTAAGATTTCGGAAGAAGTAATGCTAAAGTATGCCAATTAAGATTACAAGGTCAAAGTAACGACAATAAATGCAATAATCTATCCACAAACTTACACTGCACATCAATTGTTGATGTCTCTGTTGCATTGCCACATTCATTACTGACTTCACATTTGTATTCGCCAGCTTGACTCCTGTTAATGTTTACAACATTCAGCATGTATCCACTGTGACGCTGACCATCAGGCTTCATCCCAGACACCATTGGAGGAGGTATTCCGGATGCACTACACATCAGAGTCACATTGTCACCTTCCGTGACCATCTTGTTGCCTATTGCTTGTATGGATAAAGGCACTGTAAAGATAAGGAACATGAAGTTAGCATTTATCTCTCAATGAGCGAATGAACCGACGTGGTAAGTAGTAAATAGGTGCCGGTATAGCGTCAAGCCTATCAGAATCGAGTATTTTGGTCACGTGGTACAAATGGATCAATCAGAAAGCCGTATTTTCACATTCTATTCTGATAACGCGTCTAAAACCGAGTGGGCGCCTGAGGACGAGTTTAGTGGCGGTTACGGGCGGTTACGAGCGGTTACGGGCGGTTCAGGTGTCAATGGGTTAACCCATTGACACATACACGCACTTCTCCTTAACCACGAACTCGTTTTCAGGCGCCCACGCGGTTTTAGATACGTCATCAGAATGGAATGTGAAAATACGGCTTTCTGATTGGTCCATTTGTACCACGTGACGCTATACTGGCACCTATTTACTACTGTGGTAATAAGTCTTACGTTTCTTTTCATCCCTACAAACAATTAATACAGGAAAGCGCAAATAAAAGGGTCCTGCCAGACCTGAGCTTGGCTGATATCATAACAATTACCACTTAATTGCCTTTAATATTCATACATGTAACTTATACTATCAATCCTCATTACTGGAATAAAAGCTGCCACTGACTCAACTTCAAATGATGGCAGGCATGCTTCAATTGGTAAACCAAAATAAAACCTTGCATGAGGGTGAACTTTGTACCAATGAACACAAGCCAGGGTGTAAGGTAGGTTCACATTTTCACCAGTTGGGGAGCGGATAGTTATAGAGTGCTTGAAGAAGTATTGGACAATCCCTGCAAGAGAAAGAGGAAATAGTAGAGAGGATGAGTGCTATAAACATACATGTAGTAATCTTCTATGTTCTGTACAAAAAGCTTAAGAACTTAGATTCACTAAGATCTAGTGAATCTTACTTCTTATATACATGTAGAGTATTGCTTTGTAATGTGATAAATAGCAAGACTGTTAAGTTGCAAACACTGAAAGTATTTACTATTATTGTCCTATGCATCTAAATATACCAAGGTAATAACAGCAAAGGGTATGCTCAATCATTTTTTAAGCAGATGTTTATTGGGTTTGGTTCTCCTCTTGCTTGTTTGTCAATAACGTATTTACTATACAGATTCAAACACAGAAGCCCATAAAAGGAGATAAACAAGTC